AGAGCCAATTTATAGCTACATATATCAAGATAAAGTTTGTTTTCCACACAAAAACAACAAAAAGAATGGCTTCCCCCTCCAACTTTACAACCTTAGTCAATATATAAACACTAGGGTGATGTAGCCTTCGGTTTCAGAGACCGTGCTTAAGACCAAGTGATCATAAGGTGCTATTGGGGCTCATCTGGAGAGACATGCTGGAGAGCAGATGCTTAAGATCAAGTGATCAGTTTTATGCTTATTATAAGCTCCCAAGTTTGGCCAACAAGGATAACCGAAAACACCCATGAACATGTTATCAGGTTTCTAATTATAAGCTATTTCAAATGGTGATTTACCATTGAGTGTTTTCAAGGAAGATGGTTAATAATATAAGTTGCAATTAAAAATACGTCTTCCCAATATGGTTTTGGCAAATGGGAGTGAGGAATCAAGGTTAAGGTTAAGCCCATTTCAACAATTTAACAATGTTGTTGTTCTTCTGTGTAAGGATAAGATAAATGATGTTGAGTTCGGCAAATTTTGAAATAATTATTAAAATATTTATATTCATCCATCAGTCAGTTTAAAAAGCTTTAATTTTGGAATCACAATGTCCTTCAATATATTCTTAAAATTAAAGAAAGATATTCTCAACATAAAATTTGAATTTTAAAGAAAATATCCACATGAATCTAGTAAAGACATCTAAAAAACAAATATAATAACAAGATCCATAAGTAGAAATAACCTCGCTTGGTCCTAGACATTAATTCAAATGGTTTTGAAATAAAATGAATAGAAGAATAAAAATGTATTCAGGGCCTTTAGCTATCTTATACCCAGGATAAATAATTTGTCTATTACTACAACCAAGAAGTAAATTACTACAACCAAGAAGTAAATTATCATAGCTAAGCACATGATGAATAATAATATATAACACATGATCAAGATGACAATGCCAATTTATAATAAAAACCCTAACACTAAAAAAATATATGCAAAGTAGTGTTGAAGAGAAAAAGAAAAGTAATAAAGGCCATCATACACAAATATTTTATCTAGGACATTCTACGAGTTCTTAAGAAAAAAAATTGTGAAATTCAAAATTAACATGATTATCCTGAGTAAATTTTTGAGCAAAAATAATATTTTTTTATAATTTTTAACACAATAAAATTTTGGTAAAGAATAAAAGATGAAGAGGAATTAGATAAATAAGCAATTCTGATATGAATGATTTTCAAATTTGTACCATCACTAATGTAAATTTTATTATTGTTAGAAAAATTATCATTTCTGATATTTAGATTACTTATCTTAGCGGTTACATTATGTGTTGAGCTAATATTAAGATGATATTTTTGTTTAGCTAATTGTTGCCAAGTATTATTGAAGACAAGGTTTGCTTGAAGATTTGGACGTGGTGTTGGAGTTTGAAAATTTGGATTAAAACACCTCTAATCAAGGGAGGCTATGTGACCAATTTTTCACAAAATCGACATAATAAACTATTATTACCATGACCACTAGTATGGTTATTGAATTGACCATGCCCCCTGCCTCTAGTTGCTGATGAATAGCTATGAAACTATCTTCCTGTGAGAGGTAGTTGTTAGGTAACAACATTGACAGAGGCAATGAGCAAGTATAAAAATTAATTATTATGTTGAATATAAGCCTCACATGTCAAGAGTATAGAATAAACATCTTCCAAGGTAAGAGAGATATCACAATGAATGACCATGAAAATAAGAGAGTTATAATCTAAAACAAGCCCGACAAGTAGATATGTGATGATATTATCACACATTAGAGGTTGTCCAACAATAGCCAACTCATTTGTAAGATGATTGTCATAAAATAATCACTTATATATAGACTTTCTTTTCACAAAGTAGAGAATTGAGATCAAACTTGTACTTGTTTAGCATGAGACTGTGATGCAAAGGCAGAAATTACAGCCATTCAGAATTAAGAGAACATGTTGTCATGAGCAACTTGTGCTAATACCTTATATGAAATAAAAGAATTGATGCATGGATAAGATTATCTTGGGTTTCCTAATTAGTATAAGATTGGTTGGGACATGTAAATCCATCATAAGTAATGATAGTTTTAGCTGCCTGATTTATAGTGCCATCTACATAGCTAAAAAATTTATAACCTTTGAGGTAAGGTAACATGGTAGCTTTCCAAGTTGGTAGTTCAAACGTGTACGTTTAGTAAGGAGGATGGGAAGATTGCATTGAAAAGTTATGGAATGTTAGGAGTCAAATAGTTTGAAGAGGATCAATTAGAAGTGAGTCTTAGATAATTTTGATATAATGTAAGAATGCGCAAAGAGAAGAATTTCACATAAAAAAGAGTTGTATGTTAATATGCAATCATGAATGAAAACACAATATATAAGATTTTATAAATATATTACCTATAACTTTCTCCTCTATATTAGCTATTTTAAAACTAAAAGATAATATTACAATGTTAACAATCAAATTGGTTATTCTGAGCAAGGTACTTTAGTTTTGATTGTTGACTACTTTTTAAAAAGTCATTATAAATGATTCTTTAACTCTTTTTTATACTCGTGAGCTCTTAAAGTAATCATCTCTAAAGATCATAATCTTTATAATTATGAGCTCTTAAAATAATTTACCTAAAGATTGTAACCTTCATACTTATAAGCTTTTAAAGTGGTTCTCTTTAAGGTTGTAATGACCTTATGATATACTAAATATAAGGGACACATAGCAATTAAAGTTTGATGGAAGCTTTGGTTATAAATAATATTATTTGATCCCTATATTCACTTATTCAATTCCCTTAAGTTTTATACTATTTATATAGAGTAAGTAAAGTTTGGAAGTGCCAAATATATATCAAAGAGAATAGTAAATACATGAGGAACATCAATGGCTGAAGGTATTGTTTCCTTGCCATACTCAAGACGCTTGGACCTGCAAAGGTTGCCATATCCAAATATCTTAGGCCTGACGTGGTTGCTAGATAGAGGTGTGAGTCTGACATTATTGTTACACGCATCTTTAAAATTCACTCATTTTTTTTATTAACCTATAATTTTAGAGTAGAAATCATTTAAAAAATTGCATACATTAAAATAGTCAAAATGATAATAAGTCCTTTTGCATATACAATATTTTTCTTTTCCTACAACATAATATATCAATTCAAAAGTTTTCTTTTATAATTATATATTTTAAATTTTTGTATGTATTAATATTTATAATATAGAATAAACTCTCATTGAAACAAATTTTGATGATTAGAACATGCAACAACGTCTCAAACTTAAAAAAGCATAAACCCTTTAAAAAACGATCAAACACTTGGATGAAAACATAAAATTAATATTTTCATCTACAATACATACAAAAAAAAAATATTTTTAAAGACTTGAAATAAATAACTAGGCATACAAGAAATTCTTTTCAATATTTTTTTCATTCTTTCCTTTTCAAATATAAAAAATTTATAAAATAAGTTACACAGATAAAAAAGAGTTTGCAATTAAGTTTTAATGCATATGAATGAAAATTTTTGCTTGAATGAGACATTATTTATTTTTGCAATTCAATTGTGCTTTTAAAAAAATTTAAATTTTTTTACCTAGGCACGCTGGTCTAGCAAACCTAGGTGCATGAGTTTGACATGGTTGCCAAGCATAGATGTTTGGGTTTAGACCCAAGCGATGTGGACTAGCAACCATGCCAAACTCAAAGACCTTGGCTATGACCAACATGATTCACTTAACAAAGAACAAATAAAAAGAAAATTTATGCACTTTAGTTATAAGGAAAGAGAAAAAAAATTATAAACAATAGATTACTGGTGATCATCCAACTATTATTTGTAAACATATGTCATACAGTGTGGAAGAGGATATAATTGCGCATTTAGTAAGATGAAAGATGATCAAATTTGGTTAATAGAAAGCGTTATATATACCTCTTTAATAGTATTAGCGTCACCTATTCGTTGAGAAAAAAAAAATCAAAGAAACATCTTGTAAAAAAATATAAAAATTAAAATTAAAATTACTATTATAATTTATAATAAAACACATTATATATGTGTATATGTGGGGTTTTGTATTTCATTTCGAGGAAATTAACACACGGGTTTGCCCTTTGTGTTTATCAACCTTAACTTCCATGATAAATACCAATGTGTGGCATGTGGCGAGCAAATTAACTCAGTTTGAAGATTAGGCTAATTTCATGTTCAAGGTGCTCTAACAAAAAATCGATTACTTTTTTTATTTTGGTAATGTTTGAAGGTATCGAAATAATTATTTTTAATGTATATTTTGCTCGTAAATACATAAAATAATATATATATATATATAATTATTTTTAATATAAATACATTAAAATAATTTAAAAACATAAAAAATATTAATTTTAAGAAAAAAAACTTAAAAAATCAGGAAATGCATTTCAACTATAAAAACAAAGAGGCAGCTTGTTCTTCTTGTTGATAGCTTCTTTTGCAAAATAAAGAGGTATGAGAAGATTGCTGAGGAAATCGACACAAATTTACTTTTCGTCGCATTACAATTATCATGCCGATAAAATGAAGGAAACTTTTTAATTCAGTAGTTAAAATTATTATTCTAAATCACTTTTAAATAATTTCAGTATAAAAGCAAATTGTTTTTAGTCTAAAAAAATATTAAATTATATTTTTTAATTTTTTTTTTAATTTTAATTTTTTAATGTTATTTTTTTTTTAAAATATTATTTTATTAAAAAATAGTTTCAAAAAATATTTTACAGATTAACCAACACACTCAGAAAGTGTTTTGAAATAACACTAAGCAGTATTCACGGATATGGGCCCAAATACTTGTGGTCTTGGGCTTGGGCTTGTCATTAGAGAAAACATATACGGAGCTTTTCAACAAAACAGTCCTTTAAGCGTAGCTTGAAACAATAAAAGCAACCCATTAGACAAAATGAAATCCTACGTCGTCGTTCTAATTCAGCTAACAAACCAAGAAACCCTAGATATATACTTGCTGCATAACAGCAAGTACCGCACGCAAAACGCCTACCTGATTTCCCTCACCAGTTCCCTGCAGCAGCAGCAGCAGCAGCAGCAGCCTCTTCCCCCCTCCCTCCCCTAACACCACATCAACAGATCCAATGGTAACCCTCTATTTCTCTACAAAATCATTCAAATCTCAACAACAATACGTTTCTCTTCACAAATCCAATTGAACTAACTTTTTTTTTTATCTTTGGTTTGTGTAGGCACCGAAGAAGGAGAAGGCACCGCCACCATCATCGAAGCCAGCAAAATCAGGAGGAGGGAAGCAAAAGAAGAAGAAGTGGAGCAAGGGAAAGCAAAAGGAGAAAGTCAACAACATGGTTCTCTTTGATCAGGCTACTTATGATAAGCTTCTTTCTGAAGCTCCCAAGTACAAGCTTATCACTCCTTCTGTCCTCTCCGACCGTATGAGGGTACAGTATTTCACTACGTTTTTTCTCGAAAGTTTACGTCTTTTCCGTATTTTTAGTCACATCAAATCGTGGGTTTTTTGTTTATGATTATTTTAGGATATGTTAATTACTGGGTTTACGACGAAGTGCATAGCACTAACGCATGCGTTATGCTAATTTCACTGAAAATCTGTCGGATTCATGTCGATAGAAGTAAAGTAAAATTAGCATAATTTAATATCTACACTCACCAAAACATTTTCTCTGAGCAGTGTGATGGGTGGGTCCAACTTGATGGCGTGTTTAGGGTATATGACATAAATCCCGAGGAATTTTGTTGTTCTTGAAGTAAACCTTCTGATTTTCTACAAGCTGTTGCCATTTTAGGGAATAAAATGTTTTAGTTTTTGGTAGCAATTTTAGGAGAATTCTTGTAAGTTGTAATGGTAATGTGGTGGAAGAGTTTGAGAGAATGTTTAAAATCATGGATAGTTAATAAAAAGTTACAGTTACTCAAAATTATCATGAATTGGATTGTTGTTGATTAGGTGTATAGGTCCCTTTTTATTCTCATTATTGTAACATTTTTCCTGGTGGTGTTTTGTTTAGCTGTGACAATTGGATGGGTGTATTGGTTAGCTTATGTGGAGCGTATATCATGCATATTTTGTGTTTTGGTTGGCTTTGAGATTTAGATGAGCGTGCAATTCTGTGTTTCAAAAGTTTCTGTTCTGTGGTTATAGTTTTATTTTTTCCGTAATGGTGTCAAGAATCTGTAAACTATTATGTATGCCTTAGAATATTCTCATTGGTGAAAGTACATCAAGTTTGGTTGCTGATCTAGTAATGTGTCTGTCTACCTTGGTCTATTGGGATGGACCAAGAGACTTTTGGCTACATAATTATAGGTTGCACCATGATCCTTCTTATCAACAGTAGGATCAGGATTCAAACCCAGGTTATGAGGTACCATGCCAAGTGCTTTTGTCAGTTTAATACCTAACACTGATCAGTCAGTCATACATTGTTGTCCACTGTCTGCTACTTTTTACAATAGAGTTCAGGCTACAAGCTAGGTATTCAGCACTTGTATATTTGTATCATTTTGGCTTGTGAGGCTTATGTGTATAGGTTTTTGTGTAAAAATAACATCGACCATAGAGCAACAACTGCTCTATGCTTAATATGATATAGCTGTGGCTTTGTGTATTCTACCTGGGTATTGTTTTGTTAAATGTATTTTTATTAGCATGCCAAGTATTAAGTACGCATGTCTAACTCTGCTTTCGTGTTTTATTTAATTTTGTGTGCATGTTTCATTTGATTTTGTATTTTAATGTACCTTGCAGATTAGTGGATCACTTGCTAGGAAGGCAATTAGGGAACTGATGGCTAGAGGTTCTATTAGGATGGTCTCTGCTCATGCAAGCCAGCAGATTTACACCAGGGCAACCAACACCTAGGTGTCTTATTGTATCTGGGGTTATTTAGTTTTCAGTAGAATGTTGCTGAGCTTCACTGCAATTACTTTTTATTCATGTGACTGTGATAACAATCTTTAGAAGGTTCCTATCATTTGTGTTGAATGAATTTTTTCAGAGTTCTCGAGATATTGGTTTTGCATCTTTAGATTATTTTCTCCCATGTGGTATGCACTTCTTGTTCTACTGGTTTTGGTCTTCTGTGCATGGCATTGCATTCTGCTGCCTTTCGTTTTCAGTTTTTTTGGCTGTTTGTGGAAGTGAGTTGCGCTGTTAGTTTAGAAGTTAATTGTTTTGATCAAGAGACACTTTTTCTTTGGTGTTTGGTAAGTTGCTCAAGATACGTATGTTCATTTGCCAACCTCCAAGGTTTTATCAGTTTAACTATTATGAGACCAGAATTCGCAGCGTTAACCAGTCCTGATGTAGATTGACGATGTCAAGTGAAACAAGACTTGCAAAAGCTGCTTCCTAAAGGAGGTGGGATGGCAAAATTACCCAATGGATAGATGGGATGGTATGAGGGTTATTTTCCAATTACATAAATAGAAAATAGGGATGGCCTCGGCAGCATCTTTCCTGTCCCAACGAGAAACTCATCTCCCCCGTTTTTGATATTTCATGAAGTATATTTGCTCAACAATGATCTTTTAACGTGGATTTGTTGCTATGTAACTTTATATTTTGATTATTTGTATTCAATCAATTAATTCTGTTGTAGTAAAATTTAATATTGGATTTGATTATATTATTGCATTGTGTTAACAATTGTTTGTTATATTACCAAAAAAATAATAATAATTGATTGTTATCTTGTAATTATAATAATGCATATAATTTTTTTAGTAGTTAGGATTCTTCAAATATTTCCCGTGTACCGAACCAAGAAATATGAGGTGGGGATGAGGAGGTATAATCCGATGATATAGGCAACATGGTCCCTAACCCGGTTGCCAATATGCCATTCTGCAAAAAGGAAATGGCTCGTGCTGCTTAGGATAAAAGTTGACTGCTTTCCTTCCTACAAAATGGTCCCTCTTTCATGCATTAATTTCCACTTTTTTTAGCATATCCCTAATCTTGAGATTTGTGGCATAGGACAGCTTAGGGATGGTTTGTAGATGACAATTAAACTGAAAAAGGTTCTCTTGCACATGTTCAACTTTCAGAATTGGCAATGCTTTGTTTTCTGGTTCTTCTATCCAGGCCCCCGGCGAATCTTCAAGGCAGTTTGTGGACGAGAAAGGAGGGGTCAAGATCTAGTGTCACCCCAGAGATTTCAAGTGAGTAGGACTTTCTCATCTCATAAGTCACTAGCATGCCACGTGAAATTTTTCCATGGAGCCTTTTGCATTTAGCTTTTGCTCGTGTATTCTTGTTTTTGAGTGCTATCTCTTATCAGTCACTACTGCATGGGACTCGAACAAAATTTGCCTTGGTTCCTTCCTGTCATCAATACACCACATCCATGGCAGAACCAATTCAGTCATTTGATTCCACCTATGGAAAATAGGAACGATCAATCAAGGGATCATTTAGCATATATCTCGGGTAACAAATGAATTATTATCTACATAGAGAATTGGATGAAAATGGATCCGTCTTTTTATACTTCTTGTGCATAAAATTTGTCATATACTACCATTTTGATTGATGAACATATAAACAACTATTATATTATTATCAACAACGGAAAGTCAAACATAATAATAAGCAAATAAGATGAGTTGAAAGAACATTATTATCAACAAAGGAAAGTCAAACATAATAAGCAAATAAGATGAGTTGAAAGAAAATGTGATGGTTAAGTGTATTATATATATTTGCTTAAAAGCTAATGACTAAAAAGATTAAAGTTAAATACAAGGTAACATCTTAATATATTTAGACTTGGTAGAATGTTAAATTTAGATGATATTAGTTTGACTTACCTTTAAATTAAATATTTTTGGGTTCAACTATATATTAGATCCAAGTACACACATGTCTAAAAGAGGTGTTATATCCAACATCCTTGTATTCAGCCACATATTGAGCCCACATACATGAAAATCTAGTGAGGTGCTAGACCCAACACTTACTAGGTTTAAGTACATGTGGGTTTAGCGAGGTGCTAAACTCAATACTCTTGAATTCAACCACATACTAAGCCCACACATATCAAGATCTAAATAGATGTCAGACTTAACACTTTTGGGTTCAGCTACATGATGAACTCATCACTCTTGAGTTAGGTCCAAATACATATAGAGTTGATAATCTTTTCAGGTCGTGAACTCATGCACTTAAGAGTTTGGTAAGCTGTTAGACTCATCACTCTTGAGTTAGGTCCAACTACATATAGAGTTGATAATCTTTTCAGGTCTTATGTTGGGTCACAATAATTTGTTTGTTTATTTTTATATCTTTTAATATAAAATATTAAAAGTAATTATTTTCTCTCTATATCTCTGAGTGCATAAAAGTCTCCTGAGAACTTATTATATTTTCATCAACATTAATATTATTTAATATATATATCACTCATTAATATTGTGTAAGAGATATTTATATTTTATTAATAATATCACAAGGAAATGACACTTCATTTCATTAATAATATCACAAGGAAATGACACTTCAACCTCTATATTCAAGCAAATAATAAAGTTCAAAGGCTATATATATATCTTCAAAACCATCCACGTAAAAAGGTTCACACCTTTTCTATTCTCTAAAATATCCTTACTCTTATTTTCAGAGCATTTATCATACACAACTAAAAATAAATAATCTTGTTCTTAGAATTAAAATCACATTCTCTCATTTATTGCAATCCTTTATTAAAACTCAATGACTTCGTCATCGAAAGGGTGTTGGTTGGGTTTGGGACCTCCAAGAGAAGGGAAAAAAAAGGCTGCAGATACTTCTAAATCCCATTAAAAGGAACTATTTTGCAAGCACCAGATCTTCTATCACTAACCATCAATTTAATGAATTATAGAGAAGGAAATACCGAAATGAACATATGATTACCCGTTATTCAAACATTTTAAAAAAACCTTGTTATTGAGCATATTAGATTCTTAAAACATTATCAATTGACATCGTTTATGGGGAACTGATAAAAAAGTCATCAACTATTCTTTCTGAATTGATTTTTGATATCCTTGATCACTATTAATGGCAAACAATTGAGATACTCATGAGATGAAATGTGTCATGGATCTCTTTGTAGTTGTTGACACGTCTGCTTCATTAGAATTTCAACAACTCATCAATCAGGTTTAAACCTTTATCAAAGCCATCTTGACATCCTAGAGACAACCTCAAATCTTACTACCTCAACAAGTCCTAGCACATGAAGTAGCCCTCTAAGTCCTAACCTTCTAATCAAAAGCATTCTTCTTTGTTAGGAATTTTTTTTTATTATCTAGACGAGGTTGGAAAAAATAGCTAGGAATGATTTCCACCTTGATAATTTCTTAGTCCCTCTAAAGATTCTTCTTGTAGACATGAAGCACTCCTAATAAATGGTTACTTTATATGTGATATGTCTGGCCACCAGAAGATTGGTGTTACTTATCAATCTCATCGTTCCACACCATAATTCTCCAGCTTTCGTAGTCTATTCGACAATGATCAGGAAGAAGCATGACTGATAAATACTTCTAACACGAGATTTACAGTCTTTATGAGATAAAATGATCACCTTTATCTAGGTGAGTCTTGCACACCTTTATCCCTAAAAAGTACATCTTCATAAAGATGACTTTGTACTTTGTATAACTATAATGATCTTAAAGATCCATGAGAACATGTCCAAAACATATGTAGCAACCTTGAGTTGGTCATCCAAGATAATAATGTTATATGTAAGATCCTCTTTACAAACTTTAAAGCGTTAGCACGAGCCTGATATAACAACATAAAGCCAAGCTTTATCATGAGTTTTAATGATCTCTATACTAAACTTGTGTCATGGTTTAACACCAGTATACTTACCAAGAGAAGCTCCACATAACTCTTCATTATTACTAAATCAAGAGGACAATCCACCAGGGTATATTATAATAGGTTTAACGAAGAAATGCTCAAGATAAAAGAATTGATTGAGCCAGTGACTTTAAAGGCTTTGATAAGTGGAGTAAGATGACGTTTTCTATGAAAATATTTGTATACTCTACTAGATAAAAACCTGTTGAAGGTAAAACAAGTCATGGAAAATCATATAAGGATAGAGGAAGCCATTATATTGAGGCGTGAAACTCATTGTTGTTACAAAGAGGATGAGGATGATAAACCTTTCAAACATAATTGCTCTCCTAATATAGATAATAATTTCAAGAAATATTAGTAGGTTAGAACAACTTGAATTGTTAAGGATGTAATGATTAGTACTTAAAAGTGTATTTTTATCAAGGTTTTATATCATCATTTTGTACTTGAAGTATCAATAACTCCCTAATTAAAGCATGTTTTATAAAAATAAGTCTGATACCATAAGATACCTTTATTTTATGGTAAATATTTATCTTAAATACAGGCCTATCATATAAATAAAAGGATTGATTGATGAGTTTTAGTACTGAAATTGAAAGGATAAAGAGAGGGCCAAACTTTGAAAAGAGATGTTGGTTCAATCCAAACTAGAATATTGTTCGGTCATTGGGTCATATCTAAAGCTGTAGATCTTAGATTTAGGTTGCTCTATGTGGATGAAAAGCTAAAACGTAGGCCTAAAACATTCATGAGGAAGGCAAGACTCATTTTTGCTATTTGAAAGTCCAAATCTTAGCGACAACGAAAAAGTCTGAATTTGTTCTGTAGCCTAGATACTGTTTAATGTTCAGCCCATATCTTGAGTTCTAGAAGTCTAAATGACCTCATTTGTTTTCTAGAAAGTTGAAACAATTTCCTAGAACTTTCATGATTTAAGTCTGCCCAAATTCTAATATTAACAATAACTTTTTGTTTAGATAAGAAGATAAGGATTGTCACCAAGTCAAGATATGGCCACTTACTCAACAATTAGTCAACAAATCAATAGTTTCTAATTTTGGCCTATTAAAGAAGGCATTTGTCATGCATTTAAGCATCTTAATTTTTAGATCAATATCATACTCTTGTTTTCTCTTTTTATATTTTGTAATGCTTAAGTTTTGTTTATAGTA